ATAGGCCTACAGTCACCTAGTGCCTCAGGGTGCGGGAGTGATGATGGTATAGGCCTACAGTCACCTAGTGCCTCAGGGTGCGGGAGTGATGATGGTATAGGCCTACAGTCACCTAGTGCCTCAGGGTGCGGGAGTGATGATGGCATAGGCCTACAGTCACCTAGTACATCAGGGTGCGGGAGTGATGATGGCATAGGCCTACAGTCACCTAGTACATCAGGGTGCGGGAGTGATGATGGTATAGGCCTACAGTCACCTAGTACATCAGGGTGCGGGAGTGATGACGGTATAGGCCTACAGTCACCTGGTGCAGACCTTATTAGAGGTACGGTAGAACCAGCGCGGGCTGGAATGTTCTGGCGAGGCCGCATTTTCTCTGTAGACCGTCAGGTAGACCTTAGTCAGTCAGGTAGACCGTCAGGTAGACCTTAGTCAGTCAGGTAGACCGTCAGGTAGACCTAAGTCAGTCAGGTAGACCGTCGGGTAGACCTAAGTCAGTCAGGGGGAACTTAAACTTAAGGTAGACCGTCGTGTAGATAGACAGATAGACAGACTGACAGGTAGATAGGTAGACAGCCAGGTAGACAGCCAGGTAGACAGACAGGTAGACAGTCAGGTAGACAGTCAGGTAGACTGGTAGACAGGTAGACAGGTAGACAGACAGGTAGACAGACGGGTAGACAGGCAGGTAGAAGGACAGGTAGACAGGTAGACAGTCAGGTAGACAGACAGGTAGACAGTCAGGTAGACAGACAGGTAGACAGATAGACAGGTAGACAGACAGGTAGACAGACGGGTAGACAGACAGGTAGAAAGACAGGTAGACAGGTAGACAGTCAGGTAGACAGACAGGTAGACAGATATACAGTCAGGTAGACAGGTAGACAGACAGGTAGACAGACGGGTAGGAAGGTAGACAGACAGGTAGACAGGTAGACATTCAGGTAGATAGACAGGTAGACAGTCAGGTAGATAGACAGGTAGACAGACAGGTAGACAGACAGGTAGACAGGTAG